ATGTAAGCAATCAAATATGAATTTGATGGAAAAAATCGTTATTTTCCAAACTTTGGGGCTCTTGGGACACCATTTCCACTTATCCAATTGAACTAAAATTTTACACAGATTATTTTTTAAAGTAAAATGAAGTGATTTGCGGGGTAGCGTCAACCGATTTTTTTAAAAAACATTTGTCTATATACCTTAACCTAATAAGCCTAATATATATCTTTAGATATATATGTGCGTATATAAGATTTCTAAAAGTGTTCAACTATACGCGTCTTTAATTTGTTTTTTTTTACGTTTTCAATCATTTCAGTTTTATCCCTCCATTTGAGACATGATATATTAGCCCCTTTCATATCACATGAGTCTGGCTACACCCATATTTGTTTTCATGAATTTCTATGTAAATATTTTATGGCGGCCATATAACTACTGTAATAAGTTTGATGTGTTCTTTAATAAATTAAAAGTCTATATTTAATGTGTTTTTAATTTTCTTTATTTTTACATGTTTTGAATAAGTATATTTCGAATTAGGTTTCCGTCAAGAGACTGACTTCATACTTCATTTTCTAAACCGAGGAAAGTTCGGTTTTCTTATTTACTAAGAACGCTTTACATAATTATCTGCGTTCTGCTTTATATGCTTAAATTCTATTGGTTAATATTAATCATAAATATTATGTATTACAGTCATTGGTCTGTCTTACTCTTTTTATAATTTGTGTTACAGTGGCACACATATGGTCACCAGCTGTAACTAGGGCAAATCATATTGCATGCATACTTGCTTGCAATATGATCCCGGAAAACACTTAACATGCTTTACAAACCTCAACCTAAATTTGTCAAGCGTATATTAAAAACAATTAAATATGCGGCGAAACTGTTTGTCATAAAGAAATGACAAATAGTATGAGTCGAATTTCCAACTCATAAATTATTTTATATTTGGCACTTTGGGAAATGCGATACGAATCGCATTTCAAGTGTTTTGGGTTAGCTTGTCAAGATAATTACCTCACACAGTACATTGTGTGTGGTCATAGTTGAAATATATCCATATGACAGTACACTACTCTGTCCATACTTGTTAACGTCAAAAGAGAGACAATCAGTTGTCAACAAAAAAATGTTGAGTATGCAGAGAAAAGCGAAAAACGACGCATCAACATTAGTGCCAACAGTCATTCTAAATTTGTGTAAATTAGTGTTTCTTAATAATAAATCTTTAGAGTTTTAAATCAAATCACAAGCGTTTAAATAAATACATCTCTACATAATTGGTGACTTCGCTTAAGTACGTATGATGGAAAATAAGGTAGCCGCAACCAACGAGATACACAGCTACTAATATTGCAACTACAGCAGACAACATAGTGACAGCACCTCAAAAACTGACGAGAGTTTCAGTGATGGTCTCACCCTACTGGCAGAACCGTCTGGAATTGTGGTTCGCGAAAATTGAATCACAATTTTTGAATGCTGCAATTACATATGAAATTACGAAATTCCACAAAATTGTGGCAGCATTGGACAACAACATTTTGCCATAAGTTAACGATCTTATTCTGAACCCACCAGCCATAGATCGCTACGCAGCTCTTAAATCCCGACTTATTGAAGAATATGCCGAATCGGAGTAGAAAAATCTGAAGAAATTACTGCAAAATATCGAGCTATCGTGTTAGCCGGCAAACAAATTGGCGACACAATGCTAAATCCATATGGTAAGCCAGATTTTCACAGCAAATCTCCATAAGTTCAGAACCATTAGATCAAATCGCATTTCTAACCGACAAAGTGACGGAAGTAAGTGATTCCTGTTCAATAAATGATAATCACACTGGACAGGTAAATGCGACACAACCGAACTTGACTTCAAGCAACAGATTAACGTGCTTAGTAAAGAAGTTGCTGTATTACAAGTGTAAGTACTAAGGTCGCATAGTGATAAAAGAATAAGTTTTCGCAGTAGCTCGCGGTCTCGATCTCGTAGCAACGAAAATAACGGCATTTGCTGATTTTACCACAAATTTGAGGAGAAGGCAAATATACATACAGCCTTATTAAAAAAAAAATCTAACCAAAATAAAGTTATTAATTGACACAGGTGTCGACGTCGTATTTTATTTCCAAACAGCAGTTAACAAAAGTATCCAGATAAAAATGTATATTTATATGCCTCAAATAAACCACCTACACAAATATATGGCGACAAGACGGAAACGTTGGATCTAGTCTTACTTGGACGTTTATAATGGCTAATGTATGACAACTCATAGTAGGCACTGATTTTCTTTCACATTTTGAGATTTCTGTTAACTTACAGAGGCGCAAACTAATTGACGAGCGAACTAAGCATCAGTTCCTGCATCCTAATCAATATCAATGATCCAGTGTGTAAATTGTCAACAATCAACCGTTTCAAGAAATTTTACGAGTATTTAACATCGTCCTGGAATTGTCTCAACTAAAATGGCACCAGGTATTACTCACCACATTGTAACAAAAGGTCCTCCGTGCGGTGATTACCATCAAATTCCAGTTAAAGATTCTGATATACGAAAGACTGACATAATGATCCCTTTTGGCATATTCGAATTTGTCTTCATAAGTTTTGATCTCAGAAATGAAAGTCAAACTTTTCAACGTTTTATGAATCAAATTTTGAGGCAGTTTGATTTTGCTTAGGCATATCTGTATGATATTTTGATGTCTTCGAGAAATGTTGACAAATATCGCTCGCACCCAAGAAAAGTTTTTGCAAACCTACAAGAACACGGCATAATAATATAGTCATCGAAATGTGTATTCAAAAAACCGGAAGTCAAATTTCTGGGTTTTACATTTAGTAACGATGGTGTTAAACCACCACTTGAACGCGTCAAGGCACTATGCGAATACAAATTGCCAGACAGAAAATGCGATCTTAAACGCTACTTGGGTATGTTGAATTTTTTCCGAAGATTTATATCTCATGCTTCCGAGCAATAGGCTGCCCTTTCAAATATGCTAAATGACAATAAAAAGAAAGACAGGACAGAAATTGTCTGGTCGAATGAATAGTGAAAGACTTTCGAAAAGTATAAGGAACAACTAGCTGAAGCGGCACTGTTAGGTTTACCGAAATCTGAAGCATTTTCTTCGACTCGCTACATAATATCAATTATCCTGGAATTAAAGCTACTAAGAAGCTGATGGTACAAAGATTCGTTTGGCCTGATATTAAAAAGAAGTATCATACCTAGGCGAAAACGGGCATTTATGAACCCGATTGCAAATTTCAAGCATATCAACATCGATTTATTCGGACCTCTGCCCTTTTGCAAAGGTTTTCGCTATTGTCTAACGATGATAGATCGATACACGCTATGGACTAAAGTTTGTTCTCTTGAAGATATAACTGCGCAAGCAGTTGCTCATGCATTTCACAGCAATTGGGTAGCAAAATTTGGTATACCGTTACGTGTCACTGCCGACCCAGGTCAATTCGAATCATTATTGTTTAACGAACTGGTAAAAATCTTAGGCATTCGACATCTTCAAAATTCAGCGTACCACCCAACGTTTAACGGCGGGTCGATGCATTACCGCTGATCTTATTAGGTTTTCGAAGTGGTTGTAAAGAAGACAACGGCGCATCTCCAGCTCAGTTAACCTTCGGTCTAGGTGAGTTCCGACCAGTACATCCAATCATATAAAAAACGGAACTATTCTTCGAAAAACATCTGTTCACATCATCGTTCGTGTGTTGTTAGGAATTCAATGGTTCGCAAACCATACGAAGGACCGTATCCAGTGCTTGAGGATCAGCAGAATCGTCATGAATTAAATTTAGTATTTTTATCCTGGATTTCTACAGGATTTGTCAAAAGATTCCTTTAGTCGAAGTTATAAATTTCTTCATATTAAAATTAGCTGGAAGAAATCTGCCATTTATTAATTAATTAATAATTATAAGTAATTAATAATTATTTTTCTTATTTATTTAACTTGCGGTGGCACTAAAAAGTTTGGGTCTCATAGAAAAAAGTGTCAAGTAACAATTGCATACTTGCTATGAACAAACATTCTACTTGCATTGTGGTGGTTCTTCCGTGTGCGGGCGCCTTACATATTACATTAATAATTATAAATAATTTACAAAAATAATTTGTGCATAAGCACTTTTAAAAATAAAATATTATTTGCATTTGTTTACATTTGTTTTAATGTGTCATACATAACAACGTAGTTAACCAAAAGAGCAACAGCAGCGTTGACCGTTTAAAAGTAGCTTTCATCGTCAACTATTCTCAGGGCACCGCGAGTGACAACGTTGATCTAGTCTATGATAACGTGAACAATAGCTCTGCCGCTAAGAAGGATATTGACAATGGCAAGACCAAACGGTTGACGAAGGACTACATATCCCGGTTTGGTGATAAAATGATTTTTACAAAAATAATACGGTTTCTTCGATTGTATTTCTCTCTTAACACGTAATAGTACCTTATTATAAAAGGGTAATCCGTAAAGTTTTCGACGTGTAAAGAAAAATTGTTATATAACAAATTTCTAGAGGACGATTTACCGCGGTTATAGTTTTTTATGTTCGTATTAAGTCAGAAATATCATGATGCAGAAAGTATAGACGCAGTTTTTTTTCTGGCTATCCATTAAATTTTTAAAAATTTGTTTTGAATAACAAATATAAATTCTCTTATCTACCTAGATTTTAGGTACAGGAACTTTTACTTGAATTTTTTTATAAGTACATACGGAAGCATACGTTATATTTCTAGCTTTATTGTTCGGTCCATTCATAAATAATAATTTATTTCATCAAATTGTAAACAATTCGCTTAAGAAATTATATCCGAAAAGAATATAGAAATATGTTTGAAGTTATCTAAAGATTAAACATTTTGAAATTTGATAAAATGTATGTACCCCAATATGCTTTTTCAGTATTTTTGATAAACTATTGTAACTAATAATAATATTAATATGTATGTTAATTTCAGGTTTTGTATTTTAAGTACCTTAATTTCCAATTATAATTGTGTACTTAACTCAACTAATTACGTCGATGTATTAACTACTGTTTTACTCATGTATGAAGAAAGAACAACCAGAAATATTTTGTACATTATAAATACTTGCATACGTGCATTATTAAAGTTTGAACTTCATTACGAAATGTGTCATGTTGTTAAAAAATCCATTGAACAATTGTGGAAAAAATTTACTGATCTGTTGGTTTCTGAAATTTCCAATGGCTCGGAAATTATTATAGAAAAACAAAAATTACTTCAAACAGTTATACCATATGGAAAGATGTCAAAAAATCAGTGCGAAGCCTTGATACAGTCATTTACAACTATAAACACAATGAGACGTAATGAGTGCATTATAACTGTTCGTTCAATTTTGGATAATTCAAATATTTGTGGAATTGATAAAGGTTCGGATATTTGTGTCAGCATATTAACATGGTTATATGATACGAATACAATATCTTCTGATGTCAGAAGTTTAATTCGAAATGTTAAATCAATTGATACGGAATTGATTTCAGATACAGCAGCATCTGCAGTTATTAACTTTTTGGAAAAAAAGTCTTACAATGAATCTGATCACATTGTTGATTATCATACACATTTCGATATTCTACAATATAAATATTTAAGGAAATGTGTTTTTATAAATAAAAATGAAAAACAAATTCAACTTTTTAATGAAGAATCTTTAATGATTTCTAAAGCAGTTTTGAGTAACTGTCTATTTCAAAAAAATTATGGAGTTCTATTAGAGATACTAGACTTGGAAAAATCTAAAAACAGTACTATTAATGATATTTTGTATGATCTTAATTGTTTATATAAAATATCTTCTGTTATGAAGTTCTTATTGCAATATAAAGCTTTTAACAATGACAATTACACTCAATGTCCTCTAACAAAACGTATCCTTGTATTTTTGAACCATATAGAGGTAAGTAATTTTTTAAATTATCTATTATTATTAATATGTTTATATATTCGTGTTATATCAAATTGTAGGTTGTTGTTTATTTTAATGAAAAAAAATATGATTATTTTTTTGATCATCTTAAATATAATTCATATAACAATTATCCAAAATGTATAATTGTTATCTGCTGACTTTTTCACATACAGTTCAAATTTTGAGCAAGAATCTTTGCACTTATTCTTTGTTCTTTTTTTTTTGTTCATTATTAAAAATTTGTCAAACGATAACAATTGCTGCTAAAATTAATTTATAAATGTTATGACATGTCAATTATATCGTAAATAACAATTAAATTAATTTTAAGTATTTGTTATGTTTGGTAAACCAAAATTTAGTAATTTGCTTGAAAATACATAAATTGAAATATACAATTTCGATTGTATTGTAACGGAATAATATAAAGAATGCTGTTGTGCAAGATCGCAAGCAAAGAATACTGGTACAAGAACGGAAACTTCGCCCAATTTGGCGCACGTATTGAATACATGTGATCTTACCACGATAACATCAAATTACTCTCTTTTGGAGTTGCAATATAATAATTTGTTACTACTTGCTAATCATATTTTTAGCTTTTAATAAAATAAAAAACTTGTGCGTATCTTATTTGGTTAATAATATCACATCATGTAAACAAAATATATATTGTAACAAATAATATATGATAAATAAATATATAAATATTTAAATCAGTCAATTGTGGTGAATGATGCGTATTATTAGTTTACATACATTACTGTATGTGAGTAAGTAAGTAAGTACATTACTGTATGATCAGTAGCGAAAAATCTATTGATGAGAGTGGGTGCATGCTCATCGTTTGTAAAATTTATATGAGATTTTTAAGTGGAAATATTAGGGGTATTCAGGCAACTGATTAGTTGCTTAGTTGATTCAAAAACTTAATATAAAAAAAATTTAGCATTTTGATGTTAATCAGTTGCTTGAACGACCCAAAATGCGTAATCTGATTAGTTTGTTGTGTGTAAATGTCTTGGCAGCACTCGCATCAACAGCAAAAGCGAAACATACGTTAACAGTGAAAATTGTTTACACACAATTCAAACAGCTGAGAGAGATAGCTAACAAATTTCTATACAAAAGTTCATTTTAAGTTATTATTACGACACTTGGGACTGGCAACACTATTAATCAAATTTGTACTAATCTGAGAATCACCGAAATAGTTGATTCTCTGCTTAGTTTCATTTTTGTGTGCAAATTTTTGTTGTAATCAACTACTAAGCAACTAATTAGTTGCCTGAATACCCCTATTATTATATAAAATTTAATAAAAAACATTTTATGAATATTGAAAAATTTCAAATTTACATGATGTTGGTATCTTGTGTTGGTATCTGTGTTGTCCTTAGAAAAATTAGTACTACATTTAGTTTATAAGTATTTCTCATACTTTTTAATTTTTATTGATATCATTATTTTTAAAAATTTGTCTTATACAATATAAGGTTTGTCTCAGACTCCGTTCTACACAAGACTCTGTTCTCAACAAGACTGCCTTGTAAAACTTATGCTAACTCTTACAATAATTCTTACAATAATAATGTTACCTTATTCTAACATTGGTTGGAATAATTCCGGCCCTGGGTACGCCCATGTTTGACACCACATGGCTCTTAACCGAAATTAAAGTGGCAAATTATTTGTGTCAAAAGTATCGTTTTCTGACTCATGCCATAAATTATAAAAATGCAATGGTTAGGTCATTTAAATTGGAATATAAGAGTTTTAAAGAATATGAAGTTTATGGTTGTTATACACCGTGCTACAATCGAAACCACGACCATCCTCTTTTAAGGTTTCTTTAGAAATTAATTGAAAGTGAAAAGTTAAGTAAACCAAAGTAATTATGCTGGGATTTTCATTTTTAAGATAAGTGTGGTGGTATTTTACTATACCATAGTGAATCAGCATAAACAGTAAGTTATCTTCAGTGCACTCAGAAGTGTGTAAAATAAATGCGTTACTTTGTGCATAGGATAAATTCCTAAACAAAAACTGTAATATTGCGCTTTGTCTTGTATTTGGTTTAATAGGAAGTAAGACAAAACTTAAGTTGACAACTGTGGGGAATAAATCCACATAACACAGTTTTATGAGTATTCATTAAAATAATATAGGCAATATAGTTTTACAAAATGACTAAAATTTTGTAAAAATGCAATAAATGATCAAAAAACAAAGCATTTAAGTAGGTAAAAGCATTCAGCTTAAGATATGCTTCTTCATTTAAATCAATATCAACACTAAAACTAATATTTTGCAGAAATGAAGTTTGTGATGAATAAAATAATTCGGTATACTGCCAAAGAAGTATCTTTCACTAACGTATCATTGCAAACATACAATTTTTGTGTTTTTATTTATTTTTTTTATTAGATTTTTCACATATTTAACAAACACAAATTAACACATAAGAAAACTTTATTAAAATATATTTATATACTCACATATATTTTTGTTTTACTAATTTGTATTTATAAACATAAAAACAAACAAATCACATTTAACATAAAACATATATTTTAAATTGACAATTAATAAATTATTGTTTTTTACCTTTCGTCATATTTGGGAAATTCATATATTCCCTTAAATAACTTAATTCTATTACGCAATTCCGCACCATCTTCAAACATTAATAACTAAGATAATAATTGTAATTGACAAATATAATTATTTTTAAAAAAGTAATTTATTCACTACCTTTTACAACTTAGTTTGATTTGACTACGTTTTTCAGTTTTTGCTGTCAAAAAACCTAAACAAAACCCAATTTTCGCTCTTCATATCGCTCTTTCGTAGAAAAAAAAATTAAAGACCGTTCGTAGTGGTGAATCGTACCGTTCGGTGTGATGAAATTTTTCACTCCTGATGGGTCGACTTGCAACAACAAAATAACATGTTTAGTGTGGTAGTAGTAAATTATTTTGAGAGTGTATTGGTTGGTTTGTGTTGTTTACATTTATGTTACCGTTCTTGTACAAGTATTCTTTGATCACAAGCAAAGAAGATAAAGAAATGTTACTATAAGGAAATTTTAAGCCTCTTTGTGTAATGCAGTAGAAGCATACAAGTTAAAACCAGTTGGTTTTTCAGGTAGTTCGAATTTGCGAAAAGTTTTAATTTCAGAAATTATTTCTATAAAAAATGACGGAAAGAATTAACTCATTACATAAAAACTTTATTTTACAGTTATAATCAATCTTTATTAAGTATTATTGTACAAAATACTGAGTAATGTTTGTTTGTTTTTTAAGTTTAGTCAAATTTTTTACAATGTTATCGTTATGGAGAGTTAAAAGATCCGTCATGTGATCAGTAGGAGTGAGTTGCACCAATTTATTAAGATATTGACGCTTTTCATCGCTTCAGAATGACACACATTTGGTGTGGGATTCAGAACGTCATCTGCAATGTTATTTGAAGTATCATTATCGGTATTTAAATCATATTTAGATCCGTTTTCAACTTGCGTTTTTGAATGCGTTTCATTAAAGTGTGTATTTTAGGAATTCCCTTTTATTTTATTTTTTTTGTAATAAAAAAATACTCTTTAAAAAAAACAGAAAGGAGACTTCACTTAAGAATTAGAGCCAAAAGTTCTAATTTTAGAACTTTTGATGCATACAATGTATTGAAATTTCTTGTTCTTATTTCTGGACAATTTGAATTTGTGAGAGTTTTAATTTGGGAGCTTCTACAGTATCGCAAAAAAATATTTATTTATTCATCATACTAGAATTGTTAAATATTAAAATCGGCTTATAACCGAAATGTATACTACATATTTACTTGCATATTAGCATGTAGTCATTAGAAGAAATAGTATAAATTATTGTTATTAGAAAATCCATTGCATATTATTATTATTGAAAAGAAGGGTTAGTGCACTGCAACCTAAAAGATGTATTGTGCCCCTTAGACGGCTTAGAGTATTTTTCCAAGCCCGATGTCTTTAACGAAAGACATTATAGAGCCTATAATTTCTAGTCTTGGATTCTTATGGTTTATGAAATATCCTTGTTGCAAAAATAAGTATATAAATACACTTTCGACAATTTTAAATAGCAATCTTTATTTTGAGCTTAAAAAATCTGTAACATGATTAATGATTAGAATAAAAAATTATGATTGAAAAATTAAACTAAAAATTTACTCACCTTTGTCTAGCAATCACAACAAGAAAAGAGAACAAATGAAAAACGAAAATTTATTAAATAATTTCGAAGTCTCCAAATTATTTGTCAAACGTCAGCTATTTGTCATGATTGCCAGACAAAGGTTTTTAATTAATTAGCAATTTTCGGCAACATTCTCCTCCCCGCAGGCGACCCCAATATCGTTTGCGTCAACTTTGCCGATATCCAGAATGGCCAGCTTTACGGCAGGGCGCTCCAAAAAGTCTTTTGTTGTTTTGACCTTAGCTCGTCTTACTTGGCCGTCTTTCGCTACAGTTGTCTCGATAACTATACCTTTTACCCAAGTATTTCTCTTAGCCGTTTCATCAACTATCAGCACAACGTCTCCTACCGTAATGGGTTTCACTTTATTGAACCATTTGCCGCGACGCGTTAATGTCGGAAGTATCTCACGCACCCATCGTCGCCAAAATTGATTTGCAAACATCTCAGATTGTAGCAGGCACATCTTTGGATCGATTCTCTTAGCATCACAAAATGGTTTCAAACCATTAGCGCTCCCCAACAAGAAATGGTTTGGAGTTATTGGATCCTCATCTTCACTATCGAGTGACACGTAGGTTAAAGGACGCGAGTTGATGATCATTTCAACTTCAAGTAATGCAGTACGTAAACTTTCATCCGTAAAACGTTGAGATGGCGAAATTTGATACAGCACTGTCTTAATTGTTCTGCAACCTATATAACGGACTGTTCCTTTCTACTATTCTCCCCATTTTCAGTGTCGACCAATCTTCAAGTAGTTCCTGTTGCACGCTTTTGTATATTAAGAGCTTCGCGCGCTCAATATGTTGAACAGTCAAAATAACATTTGTAGCATTGAAACCGCCACAACAAGCCTTTAGTTTCCCAATGTAGAGTAGCCAATTTGCAACGGCACGATACAACTTGATCCAAGATGAAAAATATTCATAATTGAAACATGGTTGTGTCTCGCGATGATATAAAAATTTTGCACGAGTTTCACTGGTCTCCATCGGACCTAGGTCCACCTCAGTTGGCCATTTATCCTCGTCTTGTAGCAAAAATTCTGGTCCTTCGACCCACCGCTGCACATATTCGGGACTTTGTTTTGTTTTCGTTGCACTGTCTGCAATATTTAATTTCGTGGGTACCCATCTCCACTCTTCGACGGTTGATGCTTTTTGAATTTCTGCAATGCGAAACATTACGAATTGTTGAAATTGTCGTGGATCACCACGCAACCACTTTAGCACCGTTTTGGAATCGCTCCAAATGAAACGCTTTTTAATATCAAATGTGTGTACTTTACATATTGTATTCATAAGCCGTGTACCAATTACAGCAGCTTGTAGCTCCATTCTTGGAATAGACATCGGTCGCATTGGAGCGACTTTGGTTTTTGCTGCTACGATCCTCGTACTTACTCCATATTTATCTTTAATGCGGAAGTATGATACAGCTGCATAAGCAAACTCACTCGCATCTACGAATGTATGAATTTGTACATCACATGAACTTTCTGTTATGTATGGTGAATAACAACGGGGTACAGAAATATTAGCAAAAATAGGCATGCAGGCAACCCAAGCTAACCACTTGCCCATAAGATCGGGTACCAGTGGTTGATCCCAGTCGATTCCGCTTCTCCAAATATCCTGAATAAGTATTTTTAAATATGATGTGAGGCAAGCTGCCAGTCCCAATGGATCAAAAATGGACATTAAAATTTGAAGTACTTCTCTTTTAGTGGGTACAATTTCATCTGCAAAAACATTACGACGTAAACGAACGAATTTTAAAACATATTTAAAGCAATCTGACTTCGGGTCCCAATACCTGCCGAGAATTTTTTCGATCGGAAGTGTGTCGATATTATTATCAAACGACTTACCCGTCTGTTCACCATTTTCGTTTAACGTAGCTAAAACTTCTGGTGCATTACTTGTCCAGCTTCTCATATGGAAACTACCTTGTTCATGCATGTTGCGAACTGCCTCGGCTAATGCTATTGCTTGTTCAATGGAATTTGTTGAATCTATAAAGTCATCCACTTAATGATTGTTTTTAATAGCGTACACTGCTCTAGGATTTTCAGCTATAAATCTTTCTGCGTTCAGGTTTCGAATAAAATGCGCTATATATGGTGAACATCGCGCACCAAAGCTAACTACATTTAATTTATAAACGCAAATATTTTTAAATGTCTCGCTGAACCATAGAAATCTCTGAGCATCAGTATCTGCTTCTTGTACTAGAATTCGATGAAACATTTCAGCAATGTCACCACAGACAGCTATTCTTCCTATACGAAAATTTAATAATATGTTTATAAGTGGTCGCAGCATATCCGGCCCCTTCAGCAAAAAATCGTTTAGTGACACTCCTTCAGCTTTGGCTGCAGCATCCCAAACTAATCTATGCTTTTTCGGTTTAAGTAGATTGCGCACAATAAAAATTGGTAAATACCAAATCTTCCCATATCGCTCGTTAATTGCTTCTGGTGGCAACTCAGTTGCGTAGCCCTTGCTGACTAAAGTAGTGATTTGTTCCTTTAGCTTTTGACACAATTCAGGGTCCCCATGCATTTTTCGACGTAAGCACTCCGCTCGACGTAATGCCATCGGCAAGCTATTTGGCAATTCGACCGTATCGGTGTTCCATGGCAAATTGACAACGTAGCGGTTTCCGCGTAACTGGCACTTGCGCATTATTTCCTCTGCTCGCTGATCCTCAACTGAAAGTAATTCTGCTTTTGGGGTAGCCACCGCGACATTCTCGTTTACTATAAATGTCTTTACTAACTCATGAAGCTCCCTATCAGCTTCTTGTCCACAGCTACATTTGTGTAGGTTTAAGTTGTTACGGTGGTTTAATTCACCACCACCAAAAACTGTCCAACCAAGACGTGTTTTCACCGCCACGGGTTCTTGCCAGCCACCCTCCCTCACCTTAAGTGCTGAAATTAAGTTTGGGTTATTTACGCCGATAATCAGCATGGGGACAGCATTTGTATAACTTGCTAGAGGCAAGCCATCTAAATGCGGATACCCTTGTTTTATTTTATCAGCTGCAAAAGATTCTGCTGATTCTGTTGCTTACTGTGCGGACATTTTTCAATGGGAATTTTTTAGCTTGAGGAGCATTGGCAGAAATTTGTAAGTTGAGCCTTTTTGAGTTATTTTCCTGTCGACTGATATTACCTGTCCAATTAATGCATAGCGCATCCTGGATACCATCGTCAATTCATCGGCTAGACTTGCTTCAATAAGCGTTAGTGTTGACCCATCGTCCATCAATGCATATGTGTTAATAGTCCTTCTGGTGCCATATAAAGTAACTGGAAGAATTCGGCAATATGACCACTTTTTATTGTGCGCAATCTACTTAAACCGAAAAAGCATAGATTAGTTTGGGATGCTGCAGCCAAAGCTGAAGGAGTGTCTTGATTTTCTTGTTGCAAAAATAAGTATATAAATACACTTTCGACAATTTTAAATAGCAATCTTTATTTTGAGCTTAAAAAATCTGTAACATGATTAATGATTACAGTAAAAAATTATGATTGAAAAATTAAACTAAAAATTTACTCACCTTTGTCTAGCAATCACAACAAGAAAAGAGAAAAATGAAAAACTAAAATTTATTGAATAATTTCGAAGTCTCCAAATTATTTGTCAAACGTCAGCTGTTTGTCATGATTGCCAGACAAAAGTTTTTAATTAATTAGCAATTTTCGGCAACAACCCTCGTAGGTATTTCTTCCGGTTGTGCATCAGTGCCGGTTACTTCCTAAGCACATGGTATGCAGTTTCTCACTCTTCTTTACAGTATACATTGTGACCGAAAAGTTTCCGGTCATAAATAAATAAAACGCAAAATTCTTAATCTTCATCAATATTTATTTTATCTCCTTCAAAATATGCTCCATTAGAAGCGATACACAAATGCCAACGTTTCTTCCAATCATCAAAACATTTTTTATAGGCGCTTTCCGGTATGGCTTTGAGTTCCCTCTGCGGATTCTGTTTTACGTCTTCTATGGATTCAAAACGCGTTCCTCTGAGTGGTAATTTGAGTTTGGGAAACAGGAAAAAGTCACACGGTGCAAGATCAGGTGAATACGTTGGCTGTTCGATGGTATTTATTGAATGTTTGGCCTTAAAATCGTTGATAATGTTGGAACAAATTGAGGTGAATCGGAACAAGCCGAGCGTTGACACGTCGCATACACAAATTGTCCACCAAAATCAAACGAGCCATCTCACGACCGATGCCTAGCTCTCGTGCTATCTCTCTAACACTCACATGAGGATTTTTGAACACGATTTCCTTTGCCTTTTCAATGTTTTCGTCGGTGGTAGAGGTCGAAGGTCGTCCAGAACGCGGCATGTCTTCGACGGTCGTACGACAGTCCTGAAAGGCTTTGTACCACTCATAAACTTGAGTTTTCGATAAAACTGATTCCCCATAAGCCTTTTGTAGCATTCGCAACGATTCTGCACACGAAATTTCGTTCGAAAAACAAAATTTGATGCAAACTCTTTGTTCAATATTTTTTTCCATTGTTTTTTTCGCAACGCACTACTGAGGTGAACTGGTTTCAACAGCTGCCGTAAACGAACTGGTCTGACAGATCGCGCTCATTTTTCGGCATATAATAAGACAGTGCTGCCAAACTACATAAACTTAAAATATCGAAAAATATACAGCGCGCGAATTTTAAATGAGAACCTCCGAAAACCTTTCGGTCACAATGTATGCAATCTATGCTGAATTGAATTTCTAACTTCGTTAAGTAATTATGCAATCTACAGTGACAGGTCAATAATCCCGTAATAATTCTTAGGTTATTCTTTGATTGTTCTATGCAATCTTTGAAGCGTTTTAGGTTGTACACCGCTAAAAGCATTTTATATTGTGATAGTCTTGGTAGTCTTTCCCAAT